ATACAGCGAAAGGTTACTAATCGCCGAAACATTATTAAGTTTCATTTAAATAACTGAAAAAGTAAAACGAGTATACACCACTTAAGCCATACTTTAGCCAGGCCTATTTTATCGATTACTTGAATTTTTTACGACACAATACTTAATCTAAACAATATAGCTCCATAAAAATGTATATAATTCAAATGTTACCAACAAAAAGCAAGCAAAAAAGCATGTTTTACTTTTTTAAATGCTGAGAATCACAAGTGCAATTGGCAATATTGCATTGAATCGATTTATAACTGGTCGCAAAGTCCATACAAATATAGACTTTAGACAAATTTAAATGAATAAATGATATGTCAGCTTCTCACAATATGATCCACTGTACGAGTAAATGCAAACGCAGCAGTCATCAATTTGCTTTGTTTTTTGCCAGCATCGTTTTTTAGCTGCACTCCCGCTAGGTTGAAAGGGTGCACTAATTACCTGCAATTTCAATAACCACATGACATTAGGTTTTTGCCGTGGCCTTGGCTGCATAGGTGGGCGTAGGCGGCTCACACGGCTCCTGGTCGAAGACTTTTTATTATTATGGCCATGGCAGTGGCAGAATGGCGGCAAAGCCACTGGCTTTAGTGGCGTCCGCGGCATGTGGCCGCTGTACTAATGCGGCTAATTTACTGCTCATTAATTTGCCCGCAATTTGCTGTAAACAGTTTTCGCAGGCAAAAGTAAAAGCCAACTGCAGTTCGAGTACGAGTACAATTAAGTTGCAACTGGGGAGGGGGGGAGGTGGGTGGAAAATGTGGGGCTGAAACTGAGGCTGAGACTGAGGCTGAGGCTCAAAATGTGGCCACGCCTCGCCGCCTAAACACCATAAATAAATAAATAATAAAAGAAAAGTGAAACGAACTATTAGCTCTCGGTTTTCATAAATCGCCGGCTCAGTTACATTCTGCTGAGCAGGCGAAATGCGGTGGACTAGGGGACTGGGGGAGTGGATAACTGTGGAACTGGGGGCGGGGGGGAAGGGAAATGCAGCCAGTAAAACACTTTTCGTTGGTGCATGATGAGCGGGACTAATAAATATTCACTTTTCCAGCCAGCCAGCCAGTCAGCCAGGTGAGCACGCAGACGGGCGCGGTAATTGTGGCCAATTGGGATGCAGTGGCAATCAGACCTCGACCGTTCTTTGGCTGTGGCACCGATTTATCGACGATCGGACGGCGATCGGCCGGCTCTATCTGGAAGATCTATCCCCTGGTCCACCGCGGCTGTGATGACAGTAATCTGGACGTTCGCGCTTTTCGCAACTTGACACCATCGACCATCAACGCCGCAAAAGCGCAAGTAATGCGAGGCGGTTCAATAAGAAAGCCAGCCACCGCAGCAACACGGCCCAAAAGCCGCAACAATGGCCAAGGCCGGGGCCAACAGCCCAGATGGACATCGAAAGGAAAGCGGTGACGCAGTCCGAAAGCGGTAATCCGACCCGAGCCCACCCACCTTCCACGTCCACCCATCTGCTCCACTTTACGTGTGCCACAAAAGTTTAATGATCCTTGACTGCAACCGGATCCGTTGGGTGGAGTCCGGTCCAAAGGCCAGCGGCTTCTTCGCCTTAATTGGCTCTGATTTCAATACTTGCGATGCACTTAGCTGAAACCAAAAGTGGCCATCGTCAATTTGATCCCATAGCCGGCCAAAGGCTTTTCACTTTTAGCCGGCCACACTTTTCAATCGAGTTTTGACCAGACCAAATACCACAAAGAAATGCAATGAAATGCCCACAGGGCATGCCACAATTCTAAAACCTAATCAAGAACTTGGCCAAGAGCAGTCTGAAAGTTTGGCGGGCAAAATACTTGTTCACTGAGCAGCCCGGATTGTTTGGTCACTGGCTTGCTCCCGAAAACTTTGTCTGATTGCAAAATAAGAGCAACGTGTAACATAAGCTCACTGCGAAAAATGCATTTCAGTTTTAATAAGTCTCTCAACAATTTTACCAAACATCACAAATTTTATAGAAAATCATAATTAAGTATAAAATATTATATATAACAAGAACCAAATAAAAAACAAGTTATATTAAACTAATTGATTGTTTATGAAAGAAATCAATTTAATTCTTTCTACCATTAAACACATTTATTTCTAAATATCATAAAATGTCACAGAGTATCAGCTATTTTTGTTTTAATGGTATAATTAAATATTACTGATACATAATGATGTAATGTTTTGATTAAATAAAAAAAAAACATTTTTTAAAATTTCTACACTTCTGAGCTTTTTTTAAAGTGATTGCCATTTTCTTGGATATAATTTTCCGTGTGCGAGAAGTGCACTTGTTGAAAATGTAGTTGAAGCTTAGTAAAGCATTGTTAGCACTTTTAAAACCCACTAAGAGTTTTTAATTAAGGGCAAAACCTTTAAAAACCCTTGAGTGCAAAGAACTACTTAATTAGGAAAATTTATGAGAAACTGGGATATTTTTGATAAGTGGAAAAGTGGAAATGGTTTTTCGGGAGCCAGGAAAAGTCTCATTTGCCATTTAAAGCCGCTTAGAGTTGTTAAACATTGGCCATAATCCCCGGAGAGAGCCATGGACTCTCAACGAATCGTTCACCTTGATACCGAATAATCCATATCCTCCTAAATAGCTGGCCAAGTGGGTCTGACAAACGGCTTGTCTGCGGATTGTAGGCTCTCATCGCACTGTGATCACATGGATTTGTCAGGGCTGACAGCCAAATTGACTCTTTGGCAGTCAATCAGAGCGAAATTGTCACGAGTCATGCGAGAAATGCAACTCGCCTGGAAACAGGCGCAATTAAAGCCATTCCAAAGAGTTTGTATTGCTGTTGGCCAGCACAATAGCAATAGTAATAGCAATAGTAATAACAATAACAATAATATTGTTTATTTTGAAGCCAATTACGTGGCTTTGAGCTGCGGTTGTTTGGCTGGCCAAGTTGATGTTGATTTTGCAGCTGCTTTTGCTTATGTTGCTGTTTTATTTTCACTGGCACGAATTTCGCTCGCATTTAATCGCACGGCACCTTGTTTCTACGGCTGTTTTTCTCTCATTTCTAATCGATTGCCTGAGCCCAGCGATTCGTTTAATTTATTTTAATCTAATTGTTTTATAATTAAAGCATACTTCTGTTTGATTTCACCTGTGCGTGTCACAAGCAACAAACTTGCGGTTTCGGCGCGGCTCGACTCGGCTCGATTCGAATTGTTTTTCAAGTTGCCATTGCTTCTGATCCCCTTAATTAGCTGTCATTTATTTGTAGCCCCTCACAAATTTTGTAGCTGAAAAACCGCAGGATGTTGACTTGCAACTCGTGCGGCTTACGATGCACTAAGCTAATTTTTCGTAGGTAGGCCGATGTGCTGTATACTTCGGGGCTTGCCAAAGATTATTCACATTATGGAGGACTTTTAGGGGCAAAAACAAAAGCAGTGGGACCTCGATGAGTGCAACTTCTAAGCTACACTCTAATTTGAGGATAAATCAGGCATGAAAATAAGGGAAATGAATAAATCACCAATTGGATGAATTTGTTTATGCCTTTCCCTTTATTGAAATCTCATCTACACTTTATTTTAAGAAGTTTTTTAGACATAAATAAATATAAACTTTGATTGGATTTTGCCGCAAATTAAATGTGAGCCTATACAAAGCCTTTCAATAGTCGATGCCCTGGAGTCTGATATAAACATTTTTTTATTGCTTTAAGCTGCCTTTGCAATGGTCTTGCCCATCAATTGGCCGATTTATTTTCAACAAGTAAGTAAATAATACAAAAATACTATTAGTAGGCATCAAATCCTTTGATTCGCTTAGTCTGGCAGCATAACTATCTATAAACTTGTCTGGGGACACGTAGCCTCACACCTGCTTACTCCCCCGACGATTTCAAGCCGCAACTGCTGTCTCATTCAATCAACTCGGTTGCATACACCACAATGCACATTGCACATTGAATTGTGGTCTCAATTGAATGTGTGGCAAATGAGATTATTTTAATGACGATGACGATGATGATGATGATGATGCACAACAATCAATTATAGCAAGTTGCCGCAACGTCAGAGACATGGGACTCGGACTCGGACCACAGATTCATATTCAGATTCAAGCTGGGGCAAACAACGGTAACAAAGGCCCCACTCAAATGAATCGAATCGAATCGAGACCCGGCTGCTTTCCTCGGTTCAAAATCGGAGATTCGAGGCGGAGATGGAGATGGAGTTGATGATCTGCTGCCAGGGGGAGATACTTTCTTTTTATTGCCGACACCGACACAAGGCAAACGTAACGAGTTCAGATCAATTTTTGGTTGACTCGGTGCCAGTTCGGCTCAATAACGTATGACTTGTTTTGTTGCCGCTGTTGCGGTGATGTGTTTAATTTTTTTACATCTTTGGGGTTTCAAAATTTCCAGAAAATTTGTAAGCGAGTCTGTGTGTTTGCGTGTTTGTTTGTATTGGACAACAATATGATAAATATAAAAATTAATACATTGAGAGTGAAAGTTATTGCTTTTGGAGCGAAGTCGATCATCATTGCCATCATCATCGTCATCATCGCTCGAATAATCATCACCGGCAGCTTCATGGCAGGGCGAGAAATGGCGATAATGATGAACGAAGTGGGATTTTGATGCCGCCAAGTTGATTTCTTTCGCTTGCCCGATGGACCCCGGTCACGTTAACTTGATTAATAAGTTTGGCGGTATTACAAAATAACCCAAACTGAGCAACGGCTTATGAAATCCCCAGAAGACTGTTGCTCGTGTCTCTGTCTAATTGAATTATGGCACCATTTTGCACACGGGGAATTAAACCTGTAACCCAATATTATATAATTAACAATAAACACCCCTTAGAATTTCCATAATCCTTTACAAAGTTTGAAAGCATTTTATTTATGTACGTGATAAAAAAGAATTGAAAGAGACACCAGCGAAGAAAGTTTTGATGCCAACCATCGATAAAAATGTTCCTTGAAGTGCACAATTAATTTTAATGATATCGCGATTTGCCATCACTTGATTTCACCTAAAGAAATCACACACCGTTTTGTTGTGAGTAAAATAGAAACAGAATTTGCAATCATAAGAAAGAAATGAGGTCTTTAAAATATGTATCAGATATTAAGTTAATCAGTTGCATATAACACAAACATATCTCATATCGAAAACATAATCATTTCTAGTCAAGTTTTGAAAACATATTGTTGAATTCCACTTTTAACTAAACCCTTTCCATAGCTTAATATTACGTCAATGTGACAATCATCATTTAAATACCCAATTTCTTTAAAGATATTTCTTAACACTTATAAAGATCTTGAGTTTTGAATACATGATAGACTTATTATTTACTTGTATTCCGTCAACGCAAAAGAATTTACAATCTTCTGGCCTAATTTGCTGTCGATTGTCAATTGTTTCTCGGCCCCAATTTAAGCAGTGGGCACTTTGTTAACCCTTCGCACGGTCTGGCGACCCATTTTAATGGGCATTGCATGAGGTGGCCAACGCAAATTGCTACTAAACGTCTTCATCGCTTGTCTTTTGGGGCGGGTAACTTTCGCTTTTTCGGCTGACACGCTCGCCAGTCGGCCAATAGAGCTGTTTTGGGCCGCCAGAGAACTGTGTGAAGTGGAGTAGGAACAAGGTGTGGGCCAGGAACAAACCCGCAGCACTTCAAGCACTTCTGATCTGTATAATTTGGCCGAGAGCCGACGAGTTGAGTGAACCAGAGGCCAAGTTGTTGGTGGAACGGCCGGCAGCCAAGCGCATCCCACGGCTGTCCGACCAACTGACCGTTGAAAATTGGAAAAATTGCAACGGCCAGTGAAGAAGAAAATTGCACGGAGCGGGCAAAAAGCAGAGAAACGCGAACTGAAAGCATTTTTCTTTCTCTCCAGAAGCACCATTGTTTTAATTTACAATTGTGACAATTCGGCCGACTATGCTTGACTGCCTCCCCCTTTTCGCCCCCCCGGGAAAGTGCCCCGTGGAAATGGGAGCTATAAAATATGACCATGCAATTGTCAAGGCTTTTAGTTGAACTTCAAGCGTTTTGGCAACATGTTCCGCACTTTTCCGCTACTCTGTCTGCTGCTCTTCTCGGTTGTCCGCTCGGAAAACTGCGACCAGGATGCACCAGGTGCCACGTTATACTGTCGCGGCGAACGGGCTCTGCGAAATGTCCTGCGGAATTTGAATCGGAGCGAAAAACCTCTGGTGGTGGTCAGGGGTCTTGAGATAGTTCCCCTTCAGAACAACTCACTCGTTGAGGACGAGCAAGATCCGGACCAAAGCCTACTGGATAGCCTTTCCTTCTATTTGCGTACCCACGAGATCAACGTAAAGCTGACCGATCTGCTGGAGGATGAAGCGCCAGTTTCAGGTGGGTTGAAATTAAAATCAAGTGCTGTAGAAAAACAAGTGATAAGTTATATGTTTATATAGTCACATTAAATATTTGTCTTGATTCTACTATAATAAAATTTGTACTTATTCTTGTCTTATTCGTTTTAAATGTTCAAAGCAATAAATAGATTGTTTTTTTTACCTAATTTTTTACCTAATTTTTGTAAGCTAGCCAAGCCAATACTTTTTCATACAGTTCTTTTTAATTATTTTAGGCAATAAACGACTCTCTTGCACAGCCAAATTTTAATGAAATGAATTAATTTTGCAAACCTAACTTGTAAATATGCCAAAAATATTTTTATTTAAAATGAGTTTTTATAATATTTAATAATATATGTAACTGAAAATAGTTATACAAATTTCATTTTAGTGTCATAAATGTAATTTAAAATCAAGAGTTTACTGGCCAACAAAAATGGATAGTAAGTAGTAGCTTTTAAGGAGTCACATTCTTTTCAAGGAGCCCTTCTCATATTTTTTTGTAGTGAAACTAGAAAAGCAAATTATTTTAGGACCCGTTTAATAATTGAATTGAAATATCTGTCCCAATTCTTCAACATGAATACGCCCATTTGTCATTTCGATGGGAACAATTTGCATGAATCCGTTGGCAAGTGGCCAACAAAACATGGACAGAACTCACAAATATGTTTTTGATTGTTTCAGAGGCCCGCAAAAAGGACAAAGGCCAGAGCATGTTGCTGGCGATGGCCCTGATGTTCGGCAAAATGATGGCCGTGATGGGTCTGGGCGGCATCGCAGCCCTGGCCATGAAGGCGCTGGGCGTGTCCTTGGTGGCCCTGATGATGGCCGGGATGGTTGGCCTGAAGACGGCGGCCCAGCACGGCGGAGAGAGCAGCCACAGCATTTCGTATGTGACCGGCGAGGGACACCATCACAAACGGAGGCGTCGGTCGTCCGGCCAACAACCCTTGGCCTACAGGGACTGGAACTGAGGCTCTTGCTGTGCGATTTGTTAGTTCTTATTATGTAGCACTTAAGTAATTTAATAATGTACCCATCATGCAACAGTTGCGAGTTGTTTTTATTCCCGCTGCAACGAATCGAGTGCAGTGCCACTCGAGATGTTGCTGCGGCTCTGGGCATTCATGTTGCTGTTGATGCTGTTGCTGTTGCCGTCGTGCTGCGGCTGATGTTGCTGCTGCTGCTGCTGCCTCGGATGCTGCTCTTTGGTTTATGAAATCGGTGAAAGTTTATTTGAGTCGAGCTCGTATTGTGTAGCCATCAGCATCCGCAGCAACAGAAGGCAACCTACACATGCCAGCAGCGGTCGTGTTTTTGGCTATACCCTGACACCAAGTTATATTCGATTTTGGCAGAATGTGGTGGTCAATTTGTCAGAAAAAGGGGTTATTTTTTAAATAATAAAAATTATTTATTTATCCAATAAATAAGTCAATGAATTTCTGATTATTGCAAAGAATAATTCAAAATTGTGTGTGCAATTTTTATACTTTCCGCTTTTTTTAATTATTTAATTATTTTAATTATTTTTTCAATTGCCAAGAAAAGATGACAACTTCATTTGCAGATAGCAAAATAAATTTTTGTATGATACTCAATGCAAATATTACTCTTGTCAGGGTAATGAATATTGGTAAACATTATGTAATTTACAGAATTTGCTATTATACTGGTCTTGTTAACATGGCCAAGGCAATCTTAAGCAAATATTGTTTATTGCAATTAAAACAAATAGGCAACAATGAAAATGCAATATACAATCAAAAACAAAGTCAGCAACAAAACCCACATCTATTCACTTTCCGCAATCATAGCATTTTGCATCAATGAATTTGAATTGAAGCGAAATCATTAATAAAAATAGGTTCTCTGTTACATTTATGACAAACATAAGACAAAACCAAAATAGACAATTTTAAAGTTCATTAAGCTTTTTAAAAGAGCATCTCTGCTTCGCCTTCAACCAATACAAAATATCGCGTTTCCTCCTTCTTGTTCATGGTGTCGTCATTTGTCAGCCCGCTTTCGTGCAGTGTTATCGATGAAGTCGCCAGATACCTACCGGATATCAGAGTTCCGAAGCTCTTTTGCCGGTTCTCTGCTGATCTGCGCTTCAGATGGCGACCGAACTCTTATTTTCCGTGGAATCTGGTACACGACCACAGGCGCACTGGTGCTGGCCAGCACACAGATTGAATTTGCATAATGCGTGGCCAACTTTCACTGTATTTTGGCAGCGCCAACGGTTCTTTTCGACCACCTAAAGCGCCGTGGGCAACAGCAACAGCAACGGCAACACAAATTACAGCCATGACAGACCCCAAAAAACAAGATGTGCGTTCTGTTACACAATACCATTAAAGCCGCAGCACTTGAACGGCCAAAACCCGTTAAGCGGCGAGCAGGGATACACCCAGCACCACAATAGCTTTGGCCAAGAGCAACTTGCTCTACCTCTTTCCCCTGTATTTCGTACCTTGTACCCGTCGCCTAATTGCTCTGTCTACTGGTGGCCGCTTCTTGTGCCGACGCTGCCGCTGCCGCTGCTGCTGTTGCTGCTGCTGTTGCTGCTGCTGCTGCTGCTGCTTCTTTTGTTGAATCGCTCTTCTGGGGAACTTTCCCTTTTCAACGGCATTTTACGAGCGCGTCTGCCGGCAGTAATTAAATTATAAAATAAGTTCATAAAGGCAAATTTGTTGTTTTACAATTCGTATATGATCTGCTATTTGCTGCCTTTATATAAGAGCACACTTGCTCCGGACTTGGAATTGATTTTCTAAACGGTGCGCTTTGATTTTTACAAGACCGCCAGCGTTGGCAATAAAAGCTGCCGGTTTTATGGGTTTATGAGCACGACAACGATGATGATGAGATGGCTGCCAAGACGTGTGTGAATGCTGGAGCTACAGCAGCTCCAGCAGCCCAGTCCAGTGCATAAATGAAAGTTCATAAAGAAATTAGCTGATTAATCGTCGTTCGATGAGCTTGGAAAATGACCAGGCCGAGCCAAGCCCGGCTGGATGACTGACTGACTAACTAACTGACTGAAAGTGTCACGCAGCCTACATTTCAGCTGGACGCTGCCTCGAAAATTTCACTTTTCAATGATGCTGCGCGCCCATTGTCCGTTTCACATGTAAATTAATATTTAACCCAAATACCGCAAATTCTTTATTTGAAATGCTGGCCGTATCGCTTACCGCCGCTCGGCGGAGTCTGTATGCATAATCCCTTTCCGGCATTATTATGCAAATTTCGTATTAATTCAAATGGCCGTAAAAGGGAAAATGTGTTCTATTAACTTGACATTTTTATGGTTTTGTGAAATCTCTACTCTGCTGCGCTGCTTTATTTTTAGGGTGTGTGTTTCCTGGGACAACTTTACTTTTACTTATTAATATATGCAGCAGCAGAGGAAAGTAATTAATGATGGCGGTTTGGGGTTCAATAAAGTAGAGATTCCTTTAGTCCGATAATCTCTTTCCAATTTATGTAAAGCAAATTGCATCACCGCTTTTCACTTTCCTTGATTCCTTGGCACCGATTGGGAACAATTTTAATGCAAATATTTACCATACAAATACACGCATATTTATCTGTTGCCATGGCTGCTGTGCTGTGTGTAAATGGCTTACTTCTGACCGCGACTTTCACCGAAACATTTTTGTTATTTATTCATTAAAATTTTGCCGCTGCCGCTGTCGCTGCCACTGATGTTGCCCTGCGATGCCTCCGCGGATGCTTCTGTTGTTGTCCATTCTGGTTTTTTGTTGCCGTTCAATAAAACCCGTACACATACCTACATGGCTACATGGCGTACACGAAATTCTTTTTGCATGACCACGGCAAAAAGATGAAAAAAGAAACACAACAAAATTAAATGTAAAGTCAACAAGAAATTGTTCAGCTTGGCAATTGATTGGCAAAATACGAACAGGGTGAAAAAAAGATGTCAGCAAACAATGTGAAATTGTGCTACCAAATGGTCGAAACTTTTCTGTCAATTCGGCACGGCACATTAAGTGCCCCGTTAAGATATCAAGCCTGCGATCGCATCGCCAGAATTCCGTAATGCACGCCCTCGATGCTCTTTCGTCGCTTATGCTAATTGGTCAGCAAAAAAAAAGGAAAAAAAACTTTCACGGCTAAGCCATTGGCTATAATTTAATTCAAACGGCCAGAAAAAGGGCCCCTCTGCTGATAAATAATACAGTAAAATGGCCTCTGTGTGGGACACAACGGTCATCATCGTAGTCGGAGTCGTCGCTCGTTCCACTAATGAGTTTCAGGCCCAAATTGATGTCAAGCAAAATGAAAGTGAGAACACGATGAAATCTCCGGCGGGCCCAAAATAATCATCAGCTCGCACAAGCGCTCGGATCTTCGATCTGCTGCTGATTGAAGCCCACTCAGCCGTTGGCCTAATAAGTAGTGTAATTATTGAGATTTTCTACGCGATGGTATTTGACTATCTGTTTGGAGGCTTGTGACCAACTTTCTTAAGACATTAAGGTTTTTGTGGGCAAATATATAATTTGACCAGGTGAAAATGCAAGTATATTCCGAAGGAAGTACTTTTAGTAACCCTGAAAATATTATAGGTTGCTACAAATTAGTAAAAATTATAAATTTTAAATTGCAAACACACAAAAAAAGAAAAGAAATTAAAAATAATATTTAACTAAATTATATTCACCGACAATCATACATTTTGTTAATACAGTTTTTATTTAAGTGCATAGAAATATAATTAGAGAGATAAAATATGTATACAAAGACGAGCATAAATTTATGTGTTTCAGAAATAAAACCCCTACAAAAGAACAAACACATTTCTAATGGTTTTTGAGCTTTTGAAAAGGTCAAAGGATTGAATACGCTCATTCGGCATAACAAATCCCTTTGTAAACCAAACAAAATAATTTGAAAAAGGTTTAGAACTGGATTATATCGAAACCAGCAGCAGCCCTTTGACTTCAACTCCTAGTTACGTATGGTTGCTAAGCTGACCTTTGTTTTCGCACATGCACAACTAAAAAGTTTCCAGATGGTGAGGCAAACAAAGGCTAACTTTCAGAAACAACTGCTTTTGTATGAGGACTGCTGGGAATATATAGTCGCGTTTTTAGAAAACAAAGGATTTGTAAATTGCCTTTTAAGCGTGAAAACGGGACAGTATCCAACATTTCTGTTCATATTTGGTTGCTTAGCTAACCGTTTTTTTTTTGTTTTTGGAAAAAAAGGGCAGAGAAAAACAAAGTGTGTATTTTTATGGCCAAAAGTGTTTACGTCCAATGGGTCAGTTTCTTATGTAATATGCCAGCAGCACAAGTTGTGCATTGTTTTTGTTTTTGCGGAGCGTTTCGAGACACTTGGCGATTTGTTTACCCTACTCTGTGACAGCCATAAACAATAACAGCAACACCTCAAACGCAGCAGCAACATCAGCAGCAAAAGCAACAGCAACAGCAGCAACATCAACATCAACAACAGCAACAGCAACTACATGACAGGTCCAACTACGAGCGAAATTCATTCATAAAAAGCACACACATTGGACACTTGGACGGCTGCTTTTCGCATGAATGGCCAAGCCTGTTGGCCATGCTCTTGGCCGTTGGCTGTTGGCCATTGGATGTTGGAAGTTGGCCGTTTGGTAGTTGGTAGTTTGGTAGTTGGCACATGCCAACCGGCAAATGGAGGCGTTCACACTCGACGCGTGAACCGACATAAGTTCGACTGTTAAGACGGATGTGCAGCGGCATTCGCATTCGCTTTAGTATGTTTTTGCAGCTCTGAACCCATTTGCATCCAAATGTGTGCCGATTTTTAGGGGCAGGGGCCGAAGAAAACCTTAAGCGGAATTCCAGCCTTAAGATCGCATCGCTTGTTTTGATTTTCTCCTTTGCGAGGCTGCACCCATTTTTCTGTTGATGTTGCGTTACGAAATGCTTCACACTTTTACCGCTGCACGCCTATTTCGATTGACGTCACACGGCCAACTGAAAGCTTCATTAATTGTGGTAGCAAATTACACATACGCCCCATCGCCCATCGACAATTTGGCACCCATTATGCGGATGATTCAGGGGTTTCGTAAGCTGCACCACAGCAGATCCGTATGATAGTGTCGGATGTCGTCAGTCACAGACATTCACCTTGAAACGGGAGCTCGGATCTTTCCAAGAAATCAACCATCCATCCAAGCACACCCAAAAAAAAAGGTGATATCATGTTATTTTTAATCGACATTTTTAAATGCAATGCCTAATAATGAATTTTAATATTCGAGTTAATTTACATTTAAATTATTTTTGCAGATTTTTAAATCTATTCACAAAATAGTCAAATGAAAAATTCTTATTTAACAAATTTAAAATAACTAAACCCACAATGAATGAATATCAAGAGGAAACTATTTAAACTAAATAGAAAATATTTGGATTTAATACGTTTTTTTACCATTGTTGATACTTTCTTGCTCTTTAAATATGGTTTTCATATATATAACAAAACAATTTTAAGAGCCATTTGTTTTTGTTTTTAACAGAACTATTTAAGAAATGTTTTGACAAATACTATTCTTTATGTTAAATAATATAATACCATTATTAGACCATCAGTTTAATAAATCGTTAATAGAAAAGGAGAGCTTATGAACAAATGAAAACAGATAGTTTATTATGATAACAACAAATGAATTACTTTAGTTAGTTGAAGAGTGAAGTGGACACTTGACAAATGTAGCCATATACAAATTACGTGTATATTGACATTTTCTCTCAGTGCACGAGTCCATCATCTGCGGGTATCTCGCATCTTGTGCGCATCCGTTTTTGTTAGCTTTTCGTGTAATTTCTCTTTCATTTCACTTGAGCAATTGAAGCGCGTTGTTATTTGCACTTTTGCTAAGCTCAAATTGTTGACTAATGTGTCACAATTGCCGAGTCAGGCCGTTTCTTATGATTATGCCCGCAGAGGTGTTTTCACCTGAGCACTCCAACTAGCCAAAGAAAAGTACCACACAGGACGTGCCTATCAGCTGGTAGATCCTTTTTTCCAGCCCAGTCCTAGTTACACAACTGTCATTATAAATCACACTTTATGTTGCGTAATAAAAACGGACCAGCAATAAAGTCACGAAAATGAAAAGTAATTTCAAGGCGCGCACATGCAGTAAACAAAACTATTTTCGTGAAAACGGAACGGGGGGAAGGGGGTCTTTAAACGGAGATGACATACAGACCAGGGGCCAGAAATAACAGTAGTATGAAAATATCATACACACAACTTTCATTTCTTGCGGCAAAGTGCCCGAAAAACAAAAGCGTTCAAAAAATTAACAAAAAACAGAAGAATATATGACACACATATGAGGGGGGGTCTGTGGCGCGAGGTGGGCCATTCAGGGGTTAATGGGCGGCGGGGTGTGTGGAGGGTTAAGCTGCGCAGCACCTGTTTATCACCTCATGTGTTGTAATCTGTGAGGCTCCAGAAGCAACTATAACTCTTTGTCTGCGTGCGTCTTTAGACGTGGAGATGGACAGAAGAAGACTCTGCGGGAAGACGCGTCTTCTGGGATCTCTCTGCGCATGTGTGTGTGTGTGTGGGGGAGAGAAGACAGACAACCTTGGCTTTGGCTCTCCGCTGGAAACTTTCTCGCGCTCTCACACACAACAGAGCCCTGCTGCCTGCGCCGACGCGACGTCGACCGAACACCGAACACCGAAGACGCGTCTTCGCGTGCGCATGCGCAGCGACTTTCTTTAATGCGGAAGCGGACAAAAGCCGCTGCCTGCGCTTGCCTAATGCGTCTTCTAAGCTTGGAAGCTGCCGAGAAAGAGAGGGAGCGATGGAGGGAGGTAGAGATGGAGAGATGGAGAGACACGGCCAGAAAGAGAGGGCTGGCTGCGCAGAGCAACAGAAAGAGCGCGCAGACACGTGTGGAGTGGAAGAGGGCTCTTCGGCGACCCTAGCTGTATGTGTGGGCTCCGGCA